CCCTGCTCACAATAGGATGGTATGAAGAGATGGCGCCTTCAGGAGGTAATTAGGACTAGATGAAGTCATGAAGATGATGCCTCATGAATGGGATTAGTGCTCTTATAAGAGTACTGAAAGAGTTCTCTCTCTCCATCCTCCGTATGAGGAGACAAGAAGTCAGCAGTCTGCAGCATGGAAGAGGGCTCTCACCAGAACCTGACCATGCTGACACCATGATCTTGCACTGCCGGTCTCCAGAATTGCTAGAAATAAATTTCTGTTGTTAATAAGCCACCAGTTTATGATATTTTGTTATAGTGGCCTAAATTAATACAGAAATTGTACCATTATAAGGAATTGGCTCATGTTTATGGAGATTGAGATGTCCCACAATCAGCAAACTGGAGACCCAGAAAAGCCATTGGTATAATTCATTCTGAGTCTGAAGGCTTGAGAACAGGAGGAGCCAACAGAATAAATCTCAGCCCAAGGGGATGAAAAAGTGATGTCCCAGCTCAGCAGACAGACTAGAAGAGGATGAATCCTTCCTTTGTTTGATTTTTGGTCTACTTAAGCCCTCAACACATTGCAAAGTGGCCATTCATATTGGTTAGGGCAACCTACTTTACTGAGTCCATTGATTTAAATGGTAAATAATTCCAGAAACACCCTAACAGACATACCCAGGAATAATATTTAACCTGCTATCTGGGGATCCATTGGGCCAATTAAGTTGACACATTAACCCTCACAGGGGTAATGCTAAGGGAAAAATAGCATGTCTTATGAGCCACCAAAAAAATTCTTTAAGATCAGCCCTAACCTTTTTCAGATTATTTTTTGCTCTTGGCCTTTCAAAGAGTGATAAAACAAAGTTATTGAATATTTGCTAGATAAAACAACTTTTGGGGGAAACTACACTACTGTTCCATGTTACTAGTACTGATGACATTTCCTTCTTCCTACAACAACATTTTTATCCTTCACCTAACTGGCTCGCTCTAAACGGTCAGTCCTACAACTGGTTCTGACATGAACGTTGGTTGATATTTTCATTTACATTAATGAGCGAGATAAAAATGAAGCAACGAAGATATATGTCAGGACTTCACTCATTGATCAGTAAATGATGCCAGTGACTTCTTTGCTGAATGAGGTGTCAGTTTTTAAATACTGAAGAAATAGTTCCTTAATTTTTTGTGTTATTGACAAAGTAAACCACTACAGACTAACATACTTCTAAGCTTAATCAATACTATGAACACTTTTCCCCAGTGCATTTTTAAATCCTAGACACCTATGAAACAGTAAATCAAGCCCTGACTCATAGAATTTTCCCATTTCTTCAGTAGAAATAGTCCCATCACGGCCAATTTCAAGCTACCAACATGAGGTCACTAGACAGAGTTGGGAAAGAGATTTGCAATATCATAGCATTGTATAGTATTTCTGCCACACAGATGCAATAAATGTAAATAGCCTCAAGAACACAAGTAATTTTAAAAATATGTTTTTATTGATTTTTTTTTTTAGAGAGGGAGGGAGAGGAAGAGAGAGATAGAAACATCAGTGAGAAAGAAACATCATTAATTGGCTGCTTCCTGCATGCCCCTTACTGGAGATCTAGCCCAAAACCTGGACATGTGCCCTGACTAGGAACCGAACCAGGACCTGCTGGTTCCTAAGTTGACGCTCAACCACTGAGCTACACAGGCCAGGCATAGGTAATTTTTAAAAGTACAATAAAATATTTAGAAAGTGATTACTTTTGAATGTAAGTTTATATAATTTATTTTTAAATAATGGCTCTATTTAGAGTAGAAAAATGATTGGGACTGGAGGTTGAGAAAAATAGGGAGAAGTTGGTAAAAGGGTACAAACTTTCAGTTATAAGATGAATAAGGTCTGAAGATCAAATGCCTGACATGGCGACTATAGTTAGAAACTCTGTGTTGTATAAATGAAATTTTCTGAGACTAGAACTCCAATGTTCTCATAAGGAAGGTAAAAGTGAGGTGATGGATGTGCCAATTAAAGATAATGGGAATCCTTTCACAATGTATACACACCTCAAATCACCACATCAGACACTTCAAATAACTTGCATTTCAGTTTGTCATTTATGTCTCTATAAACCTGAAAGCCATTGGCCTTGTTTAAAAACTGGCTCAAAAATCCTGAAAGCTTAACCCTTGGCTCTCGAAGTTGGTTATGAGCTGGCTCCAGCATACCGTTAGGTCCGTCCCCTTTACCTGCTTTTCTCTGACCAGTGTCAAATCACTTTCCCAGTTCGAGCATTTTTAAAAAACATATCCATGGAAATTGAGAACGATACTCTTATGTCCCTTCCAAAATAAACCTTGTACCTCCCCAATACTGTTCTTTCCTAAACTTTATTCACTTTAACACTAACTCTTCAAGACTTTTTTGTGAATTAATCTTGGGAAAATAATGTATTCTCTAGAAATGATCTTGTAATAATGTATTCTCTAGAAATGATCATTTCTAGAGAATACATTATTTTCCCACAATTAATTAACTTTAATTTTCCCAAGTATATTAACTTTCTAAATGTTTGGAGAAGTCGTGCAAGTACAAAGGGCGACTGCTTTTGAAATCTGTGTGTCATGTCTCAAATGTATGGATTATGGAACACTTTTTTTTTTTTTGTAAAACATATGAATGTTCTATGGAATAAAATTTGGAAAATATAGCAGAAGGTTACCAAGCCTAGATACATCCTCTGCCACCCAAGAGAAATTCATTCTATTTATCTCATACACATTTCTCTCCAGGGGCCAATGGTAAGTGCTTTGTGACATTTTTAATAACAATAACAACAATGACAATGACATCGTTTATCACTTGTTAGTGTGCCAGGTGCTGTTGCAAAGTGGCTCATTGAATTTTATGAACTAGTGGTATTTGCTGAGTTATTCCCATGGCAGGTGAAACTTTTGAGGTTCTAGCTTGTTATTTTGTTCTCATGCATTTTAGATGAGCTTAGTGGGTAGTTAAATTAAGTGGCCACTATTAAGTTTTTCAGATATGGCTCTTTATCTACACCCATTCATTGCACCTGCACCCATTTAACTAGCATGTGGTGTTTTAACTATGACAGGTTAACTATCTTAAATATAAGCATATTCTAAACTTTTGGTGAAAGTGAGTATTTCTGATAATAATGTTCCAAATTCATTTTTACTAGAAATAGTTACAAGGAGGAGGTGTGCATGAGTGATTTCAAGGAGATGACAGATTAAAGAGGAAAAGAGATGAAAGAAGACAGGAGTGTAGAAACACAAAACGGTGATTACTAAGCTATGTGTTGACTTGGCGGAATAATGAAAGTGTGGACTCAGAGTTGGGAGGGATCTCCAGGGACAGCCTGGAGGAGTGCCCAACCCTCAGGCAGCGATCATGATCTCATTTCACAGATGAGGCCATGAGGTGCAGAAAGATGCCACAAGCCACCTAAGGCCAGAAGGAGTAGGTGCTGTATTTTCTCTTGCATTGCCCTTTCCCTTAACCTAGGTTGAAAGCCTTTAGTTCCACACCATAAATTTAAAATATATTTTGGAAGTAAAAAAAATATACATTCCCTGGAAAAGAACCCCAGGAGTCAGCTACAGAGTCTTCCATGTGATTCTTTCAGGGAATAACTTTTTACCCTCAAGATGTAGAAAAACCCCTTCTCCCTAATAGTTGAATAGAAGTATGGGAAAATAGGAAAAGCCAATAAAACTAGCCCAGAAAGAGTTTTCCAAGTGTAGAGGGTGCATGCCTTGGATGGTTCAGGGAGAATGGGTACTTAATGAGCACCAAGAAAGTTAGACATATCTATGAAATACATCAGTAAAGATATCCTCAGATGAGGATTAAAAAATAAAAATATAAATGCAACCAATTTCTGAATACTAATTTTGTATGCAGCTACTCTACTGAATTCATTAATCAGTTCTAGTAGGTTTTGGTGGAGCCTTTAGGGTTTTCTATGGACAATATCGTGTCATTGGCAAGTAATGACAGTTTTACTTCCTCTTTTCCAATTTGGATGACTTTCATTTCTTCTTGCCTGATTGCTGTGTCTAGGACTTTCCTTACTATGATGAATAAGAGTGGTGAAAGTGATCGTCTCTGTCTTGTTCTTGATCTTTAGGGAAATGAGTTTTTTTTGTTTTTTTTTAGTTTTTTTTCCCCACAGAGTATAATGTTAGCTGTGGATTTGTCGTCTATGGTCTTTATTATGTTGAATGTTCCCTCTGTTCTCACTTTGGTATGTTTCCTCTATTCTCACTTTGCTGAGAGTTTTTATCATACGTCAGTGCTGGATTTCGTCAAACGCTTTTTCTGCATCTATTGATAGAATCATGTGATTTTTATTCTTCATTTTGTTTATGTGGAGGGTCACGTTAATTAATTTGTGGAAATTGCACCAACCTTGCATCCCCAGAATAAATCCCACTGGATCACTTGCTAGATTTGGTTTGCTAATATTTTTTGTTGTTGTTTTGCTTGTTTTTGGTGTTTTTTGTTTGTTTTTTTTCTGCAAAAAGATATATTGTTTCATTTGGTCCAATGCATGGGAGAGGGCTTCAGGTTGGTTAAAAGAATGGCTAGTAGTTTTGGGGAGAAACTCAGGTAAAAGCCAGACACCAGGGGAATGCAGAGGGACCCCTCAAAGGCCTCAGAGCTCCTAAGGCTCCTACTTGTGCTTGGGGCTGAGCTTTTCAAAGAGATACTTGCCCAGCCCAGCCCAGCCTGGGTGCTGTAGCCTGCGGAGGTGAGTCAGGTGTAGCCCATCTTCTTGATGAGTTTCCCCTCCTCACCCGGAAGTGGTTCTGCAGGAAGTCACAGAGATGAGGTCTGTGCGGGGAGAGCCAGGGCCTGCAGCTCCCCAAGGGCCTGGGTCAGGCTCCTCTCCAAGGCCAGGGCGGCTGCCATGGTCCTGAGTTTTGCCCACTCACTTTGGGAGGCTTCAGCGTGTCCTGGAAGGAAATGTTTTGCAACTTTAAGAGATGCTCAGCGCCCTTGGGCTTCTCTGCCAATTCGAGGAAGAAGCGGCCCACGCCCTCGAGAGCTACATCGTCAAGGTTGAAATAGACGCCCAGAGAGAGGTACGGTAGGTGTGTGTGTGGGGCTGCAGATGCGGGTTGGCCGCAGCCCCCACCTCGGTGGAATAATTCAGATGAATTGGGGAGGGCAGGGTTGTTCGACAATACGGAGTTAAGGTAGAAGAAAACCTGGTGTGTTAGCTGGTCTGGAAGGTGGTTCTGAAGGTGGTGATGGGAGAGTGGCCTGAGGCTGGAAGAAGGGGCTTTCCTGGGTCTGTTCTGTCCAAACACTGTTGGAGCAAGAGACAGATCTGGTCCCCCCAGGGCACTGCCTGGTTTGCTAAAGTTTTGTTGAGGATTTTGCCTCTATGTTCATCAGTAATTTCGGCCTACAATTTTCTGTCTCTGCAGTGTTTATCTGGTTTTGGAATTAGGGTGATGCTGGCCTACTAAAATGAGCTTAAGAGTGTTCCTTCCTCTTGAATTTTCTGGAATAGTTTGAGGAGGACAGGTGTTGTTCTTCGAATATTTGGTAAAATTTACCTGTGAAACCAAGACTTTTGTTTGCTGGGAGGTTTTTTTTTTTTTTTTGCTTTGATTTCATTGGTTACAATCAGTCTGTTCAGATTTTCTGATTCAATTTGATTCAGTTTTGGAAAGTTCTGTTTCTATGAACTTAACCATTTCTTGCAGATTGTCCAATTTGTTGGCATACAGTTGTTTGTAATATTTTCTTACAATCCTTCTTATTTCTGTGATATCTGTTATGATTTCTCTCCTTCCATTTCTGATTTTATTTATTTGGGTCTTCTTTCTTATTTTCTTGTTGTGTCTGGTTAAGGGTTTATCAATCTGTTTTACCTTTTCAAAGAACCAGTTGTTGGTTTCATTTATCTTCCGTATTTTTAGTCTCTATGTCATGTCCACTCAAATCTTTATTTTCCTCCTTCTACCTTGTGCTTTGTTTGTTCTTCTTCTTCTAGTTCTTTTAAGTATAAAATTTGATTGCTTACTTGGAATTTTTCTTGCTTCTTATGGTTGGCCAATATTGCTATGCGTTTCCCTCTGTGTTCCATAAATTTAGGGTTGTTGTGTGTTCATTTTCATTTGTCTCAAGGTGAGTTTTGATTTCTTACTTGATCTTATTCTTAACCCATTTGTTGTTTAGTAACATGTTATTTAGATTCCATGTGTTTTTCCATTTATGTTCTTGTAACTGATATCCAGCTTCATACCACTGTGGTCATAGAAGAGAGAAGATGTTTGATAGGATTTCAATCTTTTAAATTTAATAGAATTTTAATGTGACTCTGATAACAGCTGTGTAAAACTTCCATCAGGAAGATAAATGAACAATATGAAGGTAACATTTAAAAAATAAAATTATAAAGTTTAAGCTCTCCAGTAGACCAAAACTGCCAGATCCAATAGCAATACATCAATACCAAGGTCCATGGGCTGTGTAGTTCCTGGCAAGAGCTTTAACTTTATCTCTTTCTCCCCACTCATGGACCCATATCAGAGTGGAGCTGAATAAAAGTAACATTACTCCAGTTTATGAAGCATATGTAAATTATTATTGTTAGTAATATAATCTTCATGAAGCTGAGCCTCCCTGTGGCTCTTTCTCTTCAAGGGATCACATTCAGAGAAACATTAGTCTGACATTCAAAATAATTGAGAAGTAATTTAATTCTTCACTTCCCTTGAAAATGCCAAAGGAACCTACATCCATATTTTATCCTTAAAATAAATCCTTTTCCTCATCTCTATTACTTTCAATTTTTCCAAATCATTCTCAGATGCCCCTGTGTTTCCTCGACTGTTACTCCTAAAAATTCACAAACCCAGTCCGATTAACTTTTTATTCCTCTTTCCTCTGCTTCCTAGCTTAGCTCTTAATTTTGTAGATTAATTTTGCATCTCTTGCTTTTATTAAATTTTAAGTTTCTCCTTTATCTGCATTTTGTGCAACAAAGGGACAGTGGTTCCAAAAGCTGATTCTGGAAAGAAGAAATTATTTATTTATTTATTTATTTATTTTATTTTAGAATTGGGGGCAGAGAGAAGAGAGAGTAATTTTACAAATCTTATAGCGTAATATTTTTGTCACAGTAACAAATTATTTGCTATGTGCCTCATAAATGATCTTAACTCCTTGTTTGAGAACTTTTGATATATTCTTCTGCCATGTATATTTTTTACTACAGTAAAACTTTGATATAGTAGCCTAACTCAGGTGAGGTGGTGTCTGTTAAAGCCAAAATTCTGTTACATAATAAAGAGTAGGCTTTCCGAGTGCATACGTTAAACAATTTACAGGTTATTTAGTTTACTTCTTTTTACATATGTAAACATGTTTGTGTAATTAAAATTAAGTATGTATGAAAGTATAACTTCACAGAAAAGTTTTCTATGTGTATTGCTGTAATTTTAAGTTTATGCTGAATAGGTCTAGTCAATGCCTGCACCCACCAATCACTATGAGTTAACAAATGCCCATAGCTGGGACATGGCTTAATGCAGATGGAAACAGCCAGCACACATTAAATCAGCTGCAGAAAGTAAGGCCACACAACAACAGAACCAATTACTGCGCATAATGCAGTGCAATCATGCGCTGATCAATCTTGGAGCATTGCTTATGAGTGGTAACTGTTGGATTCAAATATGTAGACTACAGTTGTAAGTATGCAGTATTTATGTGTGTTGGTGTAATTACCACAGTGTTTTGTTTCCCTCCCCCCCCACATATGGCCTGTTCGCTAAAATCTGTTTAAAAATAACAGTGAATTAATAACAAACAAACAAACAAACAAAAAATAACCTGTTAATCTAATTATAAGAAAATCTTGGTTAAGCCGAAACCGGTTTGGCTCAATGGATAGAGCGTCGGCTTGGGGACTGAAAGGTCCCAGGTTCGATTCCGGTCAAGGGCATGTACCTTGGTTGCAGGCATATCCCCAGTAGGGGGTGTGCAAGAGGCAGCTGATCGATGACTCTGTCTCATCGATGTTTTTAACTCTACCCTTCTTCCTTCCTCTCTGTACAAAATCAATAAAATATATATATTAAAAAAAAAGAAAATCTTGGTTAAAAGCATTTTATGACGTCTGACATATGGCCTGGAAATTTTGTCCGTTAAATCTGAAGTCTGTTAGCCGAAGCCGGTTTGGCTCAGTGGTGGAGCGACGGTCTGCGGACTGAAGGGTCCCGGGTTCGATTCCGGTCAAGGGCATGTGCATTGGTTGCAGGCGCATCCCCGGTGGGGGGGTGTGCAGGGGGCAGCTGGTCGATGCTTCTCTCTCGTCGACGTTTCTAGCTCTCTGTCTCTCTCCCTTCCTCCTCTCTGTGAAATATCAATAAAATATATATCTTTAAAAAAATAAAATCTGAAGTCTGTTAAATCGAGGTCTGCAAAATTGAGGGTTTACTGTGTTCTAAGGTAGTGTGGAAAAACCTGATGCAGTAGTTTTATACTTCTAACTAGGTAATTTCTAATACTCTTAAGGTAAACGACTGGTTTCCTCATCTCTCTATTTAAAAAAATCTAATGACAACTTTCAAAACATGCCTAATTTTAATTTACTTTCAACTAAGACATACCATATGTAAAACTTCATTTTGTGAAAAACAGCGATGACTCAATATTTTAAGTATATCTTTAGTCAATCAAAAGGAAGAGACAGAGCAATCCTTGGACTTCGGAGCAGGCACCACATGCTACTATAGCAATAGCCGCTGTGGGAACTAGATTGGGGTAGTACCATTAATTTAGAAGCCAGTAATTATCCTTTTAATAAGTGGATTACTAATAAGATGGTATTGGTAATTTAGTATAATTATAAAAATGCTGCATGATTTAACTTATGAATGCATAAGCCACATTATTCAATGATCCACTTAAAGTTTCACAGGATTAACCAATCATCTGATTTAATCAGTGATACAGACTGTGTAGGAGAAAGGAGTAAAAACTAACAAGCAGTAGGGAGTAAGCAGAAATTATTGACTACTTAAAAACTCCAGTTCATTCTACTACATTTCAGTTTTGAGGTTTTGGTCTGGAAATAATGTTGGCTACAAAACTTCTTTTACAGACTTTGCTGCAAAGTCTATTTCCAACACTTGGGGTCAAGTGAATGGAGCGCTTTTCTAAGAATTCTGGAGATTAGGGTCCTCTGCCATTCGATCTAGATCGGCAAAAAGCCAACGCTTAACAATTGTGCTCTTCAAAAATAACTTCACGTTTGTAAAGGTATTTTTATTCTAAAGTAGATTTTCGTTGATCCAAGCAACCTTTAGTTAAGAACTCTGACTAGGTTCAAATTTCAGAATCATGGTTTTTGAAAAGTGCAGTTGCATGCTGACATAGCTATCTGTGTGTACATTCAGAAGAGGCTCTGTTGGCTACACTGGCAGTTTTGATCTGGGATTAATCTAGATTTCCTGAATGTAATTCCCAGAAGAGCAGATGAATGTGTACATTGACAGACACAGAAGCTCCGCTTTCTAAGAGACATTCCCAGGGAAACAAATGTGAAACCAGAGAGCGCTGGCAGACAAAGGCAGCTCACGCAGAATCCTCCCCAGGCCATTGTAGAAGCTGCGCTTTTTACTAGTAGACAGACGTTTAACCCTCCCTCTTCAGGTTTGCTTTCTCCAGAAGAGTAGCCCTCATCCCCACCATGAGGAAAGAGATTACTGTAAAGCAAGCCCTGCTGGGCTATCTTCAGAGCCACAGAAAACACAAATAAGCAGAGGAATTGGCAAAGAATAAGGTCCTTAGTGTCCATCATGGTTTATTTTTTTTTATTTTAAAAATATATTTTATTGATTTTTACAGAGAGGAGGAGAGAGGGATGGAGAGCTAGAAACGTCGATGAGAGAGAAACATCGACCAGCTGCCTCTTGCATACCCCCTACCAGGGATGTGCCCGCAACCAATGTACATTCTCTTGACCGGAATCGAACCTGGGACCTTTCAGTCTGCAGACCGACGCTCTACCACTGAGCCAAACCGGTTTCGGCCATCATGGTTTATTTTATTAATTTTTATCGATGTTAG